TGAGCCAAATCAAACCTCTCCTTTTGAATCTGTGGGCCTTGGGTATTGTATAACAGTAACAGACAGTTGACTAGGACAACATGTATTGATGACCACAGTGATGATCATGTAGACAACATTGCAAAGAAGAAAGCTCCATAATTTTTGCCCATGCAATTATTCCACTAATTTTCAGAACAGATACATTTATAATATAAGATTATTGACACTTGTTTTAAAAGTGATGAAACTGAAGCTTCAGTTAAGTGACTCCAAGTGACATGTGTGGAAAAAGTTTAGTTATTTTTATACCTCTCTGATAATGATAGGAATTATTAGTCATTGACTTTTTCTCAATTTGCCTATCAACCGAAGCCAGCCTATCATGTAATTAGCTTATTGGCAGGAGTGTTCAGTATTGGTGAAGAGGATTCCTGAAGAGTTTGATGCTGGAGACTTATTGAGAGAAAGCAGTTCTTGCCGACCCCCTGAGCAATTGAGAAAAATTCTGGACAATTAATTTTTTCCAAAAGAACAATAGAAGTAAGAAGGAAAAGTCAAAAAGGTGAGGTCAAGGACATTTTTCAGGCAGGTTTGAAAAGGGGACATCTATAGTGAGTGGTGCACTGATTAATGTGTTTGGCATTTTAAAGTAGTCCTCAGGGTATCAACAGCAAGATGGTTTCTGCTTATCAGGATGCTCCCCAAGGAAACAAGGCACTGGACTCCTAGCTGCTACAAGTGGGACTCTCTTCACTCTTACTTTTATTTATGTTTTGATTAAGTTCTATGTTTTCTATTGTAAGAGACAGTGACTGGCATGCTGGCCCATGCTTCTTCCTTACCTCCACAGAGAGAGTCTGAAACTATCAAAAATATTATCAGGTGGGCTATGTTATCATCTTTTATAAATATGTAATTTAATAGTTTGCAAGAAGAAACAATTTTTAGAGTTTGAATAAGTTGCCAGGAGCTTTCTTTGGGGCTTGTTAAACTGTGATATATGGAAGAAGACAACATTACTGCCTTTTGTTATTCACAGCCCTTCCTTTTCACTCTTTCTCTGTGCCCAATCTAAATTCTGAGTCTCCCTATGACATAAAATAAGATTTTTAAAATTCAAATCAGTGCAAAAATTTTTTGCTTTATATAGACTCTTTTTTGTGGACAAAACAGATTGCATTAGTTATAGAGATTTATAGTGTGGAGTTGAGACTGTATCATTCCATTCTTGGATGAAAACTGGTGTGAATACACACTTAATTTTCTCTCTTGCCTTCTTTTCTGAGTAAATTTGATTCTCCTACACACTGGACTGTAAAGCCGAGTCTTTATTTTTAGTGGGTGCTTTCCTATTCCTCGTAGAGATAAAGGAAAATATACTTAAATTTGGGAAAATAATGTTAATGTAAATAACTATTATTTCCAGAAATATCAGCATACTTTCCCTCCATAAAGTTATTTAATATTCACAACAACCCTTTAAAATGTTTAATATCCTCATTTCATTTGAGGAATTTGAGACTCAGAAAGGGCAAGTAATTTGGATGTCACAGGGTTGAAACATTGTAGTGCTTTAATTCAAACAAAAGTATTTCATATCATTATGCTAATTAGCAATTTCTGAGTAGCAGTAAATGGCAACTATAACAGAAAACAGCAAGCATTTTTTTTTCTTGATCCTATGTTGATGGTTTGGTCTGGGATTGGCTGACCAGGCTCATTTAGCTGGGCTTGGATCCAACTGCAGGTTGGATTCAGATTTGGTTAGGTGTCTTTCTTCCTTTTTCCAACCAATCATGATATATGACTTTCATGGTAGAAGGCAGTAGCAGAAGCAGCAAACCCAGCTAAGTAAGCACATCCAAATATCTCACATTCTGTTTTCCTAGTGTTCCATTGGCCAAAGCCCAGTATCCATAGGGTGGGGGAAGCTTTTCTCTTGTCATGGTGGAGAGGATGCAAAGAGAATGACTATGTACTGAAAAATCATCCAATCTACCTTTAAAATAGTAAAAGTTTTCTATCCCTTAATATAATTGAAAAATATTGAATGTATAAATGGGATGATATTCTCAGCTAAGAGTAAACCACACTGCATGTGCTTATACTGGGACCACATTCTCAATTGTCAATTCTTATTTAATAACTTAAAATGCCTTTTATTTTGCTAGAAAATGCCTGACTCTTATCTTCTGCTCCCTTATCTGTTCTCATTAAATATTTGAAAGTGAAGATCCATTGGTGATCTAGAAGACTATGGTTTATGATTAGGAAACTGAAATGGAATATATTTTTCCTGTTTTTATAAAGTTTTGACTGGCCAAGGGTTTTGATAAAGACATATTTCTAATACAAAGACTAGTGCATATGTTAGAAAGCAATATAATGAATTCAAAATAGCAGGGCAGACATTCTTTCTGCAGAAACAGCAGATTGCAAGGATTATACCAACTCTTGCCCTACATCCAGGGAAGCTTCTTTCCCTTAACTAATGCTCGATAGCTGACTTGAAGCTAAGCTGCCCCTCAGAGGCAACTCAGTGGGAATGTTAAATATCAACATCCTAGGTTTAGAGATAAGAATTTTTTAGCCTACCTCTACTTCCTCTTTGGTCTTTAATAATATGGGAGTCAAACAAATGGTAAAAAGATGAGATAAGGATTAAATTCTTACTTTTAGTCTCAAATGTATCAGAAACAGCATTTTCTGATTTTGAGGGAAAATTACATTTAAAGTTTTTAAAGTAAGATGAGATTTTCCTGCTTAACAAATTCATACCATGTAAACTTTTCTTGCCTTTTGCTACTGAATATTACTTGTGTCACAAGAAGTGACTGAGAAGATTTATCCCCAAGGGAATAGATTGAGTGATTTATCAAAGAACACTTCTTTCATTTTTAGATTTATAAGACCTTTGTGACCTTCAGAACTGAAGGGTGTGGCTAACGCTGCTTCTTGGCTCATAGCTGGCTGGAAGTATTTGTTCAGGAATATTTCCCATTTCTGGTTGAACTATGCTAGCTCAGTTTCTAGGTTGTGACTATGCTAGCATTTTTGGTTCTCACTCCAGAATTTTTGGGATGTGATTTTTAAAAAGTTATGTACTGGAACATGCATAGAAGTCTTTCTGTGCCTTCCTTGATCCATCAACTTACATATACTAGCATATTCATTTTATAATGGAAATTCTCTACACAGGGTCTTTTACTATCATGTTTTCTTTTCAGTGGTAGCAAAGTTTTATTAAAGGTAGAAAAACAAATAGGCTCTGCAGAGTGAGTTTGTGCCAAATAAAATGAGGAAAAGAAGTACATTCTACAGCATGAGGGTGGGCTATCATGCATGAGAGAATAAAGGGGCACTACTATCATGTTAAATTGGCTTCTCTACTAGTTTTCTGACTATCTCGTAGGACTTTCCTGTTCTTCATTTACTGTTACACCACTTATTATGCCATTGGAGTTTGAAAAATATTTTCCAGAGAATTTTTCCAGAAACTTATAACTCTGCCATAGTACTGGGCCAAGATCACATAGGTAGGACTGGCATCAGCAGGATGCAACTATCCAAGCTATGCTGGAAGAATCTGGCATCTTTATCCTTCATGATGTGAGAAGGTGTGTTGCTCAGCTGCAGAATTCCGTGCCTGTCAGAGCTGTGCTGTGGCAGTTGTTAGTGTGAATGGGAAATGTGTTACGTATTTTTAGGTTTTTGGAGGACAGGCAATGTGTCAGTGCCAACTATTGTTGTAAAGAAACCCAAATCTAAATTTTTCTGTATAGTTCGACTGCTGTGCTTAGTTTATTTAAAAGATGGCATTTGGAAAGAGTTAAAATACCAGCATGCTGTGTCTTCACCTTCTTTTTTTTCTGAACAAATTGCTTGGGTCTTTTTGCAGAAAGATGAGCTGTAAGAGGACTAATAAAGAAGCGCTTTGCTCCTGCCTATTGTGATAGATCTTTGTGATGTTTATTCTAGAAGAAATAATCATCTATATTGATTTATAAGGATAGAATTGAGTGAGAACATTGATTCAAAAGAAAAGGAGAGCCATGAACAATTTGATTTATAGAGGTATTAAGGCAAATGATTCAGAAGCAGTTTCTACAGTCTAAGGTTGCTTGTCCAGTGGTTATGTGTCAAAATAGATTCAGCAATTTCTTGATGAGAAACATACTCCTAATAGAATGTATAATTTATTTTCTTGAGGCCAAGGCCATATTTTGTGCTTGATATGTAGGAGGCTACTACTTGCCTATCAATTGTTCTTATGTAAAAGAGGATTATTTCTGAGTGAGATAAATAACTGTATCAGACACTAATCTTGAGGAAAAAAATGTAAATGCCTTGAGTAATCAGAGAATATGTATATAGCTGCAAGCTAATTTTCAGAACCATTGCCAGCAAGGTAATTTTCCTATTTAAGAGAATGAAAGACTTGCTCCAAGGACATTGATAGTCTCATTGTTGATTTATGAGGGAAACAAAGTAGCCTTCTCTGCAAACGATATAGGGTCCTGCATCTGGTGACCATGATGGACTTGCCTTCCTTCATGGTCTTTGTTGGTCTCTGCAGACTAACTTTAATGTCCCTTTATCAGTTCTTCCTTACAGTCCTCTCTATATTCCTGGATCACAAAATGTACCACACTGGCATACTTTCTCCTTGACTCAGCTGTCTCTGTCTTTTAAGGTCAAGACCAAAGTCTTTTCCAGCAGATAGCAAATAGGTATATGTACTAAATGTTAGATGAATAAATATTTTAGTGGTAACCAGGTCCAGGATTTGGCCTAAGGTGCACAGATATGCCCAGGATGCTTATATTTTTCTTATGATACCAGCATTACACCTCACTTTGTACTGGTTCTGGATTTCCATTCTCTAAGGTCACACAATTGGACCAAATACATAATCTTCAGATACACTCTTAAGTCTCAGTGGTATTCATTTTGATCCTTCAAAGTAATAATTTGTTTCCATGATCATTATTTCTTACTGATAATATGTATTCCCATAGGGAGCATGACTTCGGCAACTTCACCTATCATTTTAAAATGGGACCCCAAAAGTTTGGAAATCAGGACACTAACAGTGGAAAGACTGTTGGAGCCACTTGTTACACAGGTAAGGGATGCTTCAAACATGTATATTTTTCTGTCATGAACCTCCAAAATATTTTTTAAACCTTAATAAAGAATAAATCATGGGACCAGGGGTTTAGCTCAGTGGTTCTGCAGCCTGCCTAACAAGTGCAAGGTCCTCAGTTTGATCCCTGGTACCAAAAAAAAAAAAAAGAATAAATCATGCCACAGAGTGATTACTGAATATGTTATTTCCTGAGTCATGGATTATCTCATTGCTCTGTAAGAAATACAGTGGGTTTTAAAAGCTATTCATACAATTTCTGAAATTAAGTTGATGAGATAATTGAAGAGGGGTACCTTGCTGAAAAGGACCATCATTTGCAGTAATGGATTCAAACTCTAAATAAACTATTCCTAACTCAACTTCTAGATGCTATTGCACAATTAGGAAAAACTGCATTGACTATTTAAGAGTGATGTATATTTATTGAATAACTTTTCTTTCAGTTTACAAGGCACAATTCATCCTGTTGAAATGATGAGATGTTCCATTTTTGTGTTGTCATAGTTGTTACATTTCCACAAAATGACTGTCAACAACAAAAATATATCATCAGGGTCCGGGGATTTAGCTCAGTGGTTTCACCGCCTGCTGCACAAGCGCAAGGAACCGAGTTCAATCCCTGGCACCAAAAAAATATATATATATATATTATATATATATATATATAATATATTTTTTTATATATCATCAGGATTTCGAATTTTGAAAGTCAATGCTTTGTGTCTTGTGAAACATGTTCTTTGTTATGTGAACTCTGAAATTCCTGAAATATCAAACTTCAGGCTTTTATGGTATATTTGTAGAAAATTGTTATACCAAATTAAGAGGCTATTTTTGCTGTAGCTGCTATACAAGATTACCATTCAATTAATGTTTTAAAGCAACACAGATTTATTTATTTTGGTTGAAGGTCAGAAAATCAAAGTTGAAGTATTGGCAGGGCTGTATTCTTTCTGGAGGCTCTAGCAGAAAGCCTTTTCCTTGTCATTTCCAGCTTATACAGTAGGAGCCATTTTGTCTTCTTTGACCTTTTCTCTCATACTCAAGGCCAGCCATATAGCACTTCAAATTTCTTTGTTGCTTTGACCTCTGCTTCTCTGGTCACATCTCTTCTCTGATATTGAGCCTCCTATAGCCTTTTTACAAGGACTCTGTTATTAGGTTGGACCCTCCAAGATGTGCCACAAAATCTTCCCATCTCAAAGGCCTTAACCTAATCACACATGGCAAGTTCCTTTTGACATTTAAGGTAACATATTTAGAGATTCTGAGGATTAGAACAGTGATGCTTGGGGAGGGAGGAGCATTATTCAGCCTATTCCCTGTCTGCCTTCTGGCCCCAAAGATTGATATTTTTCCCATGTGCAAAACATATGCACTACATCTCCAGGTCCCAAAAAGTTTCAATGCATTATAGGATCAACTCAAGTAAAAATATCTCACATAATTTCATCAGCTTAAATGTGTCAAATCTTATCATTTAAATCATTTAAATTAGATGTAGGTAAGAACCTGTAATCTATGCACAAGCAAAGGTCCTCTTTAGTTGTATACCTGTAAAAGTACAAAGCAATTTATATGCTCCCCAAATAAAATGATGGGACAGACAAAAGGTAACTATTATAGATGTTCCAGTTAGAAAAAGTAGAAAGTGCAAAGAAAAAGAATCATCAGTTTCAATACATTTATAAATCCACCAGGTAAATTGTTGGGTTTACAGGCTTGTCAATAACACTTTGTGGTTTGAGTTTCAGCCCTCCAGGACCTCCATCCTCTGAATCATTTCTTTTTCCTGAAGAGCTCCATATAACCATCAACTGAGTATTTTTCTCAATCTAATTCCTGCAGGTGGAAGTTTTGTAATCCAACCACCTTTTTTGGACTATCATCTTTTCTCTACCCATTTAAATTGAAGCTGACAATGTTTTTCCCATATATATCTGGGATTCATTCCATTAAAAAACAGTCTCCTCCACAGATCCTTCTTGGAAAGAATCTCATCTCCATTTTTGCCCACTGTTGAAATGACTAAGGAAGTCCATGAATCACATACCTAACGTCCTCACAGAAAAATGCATATGATTGAATTCTCTGAGCTTTTTGTCCTCACAGAGACTGGCAAAATGTTTTCCGGTCATGCAATTGACTGCTTCTTCATATATCTTGTTCACCTAAATCTCTCTAATGTTAGCTTTTACTGTCACACCTCCATTTCTGACTTAACTCTACTGTTTCTGTATTATGAGGACGTTGTGATTACACTTGGTCCACCAAGATATTCCAGGATAAGTTTCCCAGGTTGACATCTTTAACCTAATCACACCTGCAAAGCCTGGCCATTTAAAGTAATACATTAACAACTTTCAGAGATTTGAATGGGACATTTTTATATATCGTCAGGGAAATATTTCATTACATTCATGGATACTTTTATTTGGTTGTGATTCTATAAAAGTTTCTGTAAGAAATGTCTGACAGTGATAAGATCTTAGATTTGGCTACTTACTCGTGTTTTGGACTGTGGACTTGGCCTGATCCATGAATTTTTTGTTAATGTTTGGCAGTAAGCACAAATTGAACACAAGTATTTAGAAATCTTTGTAGCAGTAAGACAGGCTATATTTTTCCATGAAAACTTAACGTAAAATTTGGACTCATATTTTTATCATTTTAAAACTTTTCATTATTCATTTTGTTATTTAAATTTTGATATGTTAGACACTTGAATAACAATAACAAGCTCTTATCACAGGTAATTTGAAAATAATTGGTTTAAAAGATATTTTGCAGTTATAGGAATCTGGCCTGAAATATACTTCCACAAGACCAGTTAAAGACTGAGTGATCTATTAGCCACAGCAATTAGACAAGAGAAAGAAATAAAAGGAATAAAGATAGGAAAGGAAGAAGTTAAAATGTCATTATTTGCAGATGACAGGATAATTTACATAGAATACCCCAAAAATTCTACCAAAAGATGTCTAGATTTAATAACCAAATTCAGTAGAGTGGCTGGATATAAGGTCAACATTCAATAAACAATTGCTTTCTTATACAAATGTAACAGACTCATTGACAGAGAAAGTGGGGAAATGGTTCTTTTAACAATAGCATCCCAAAAAATGAAGTATCTAGGAATCAATCTAAAAGAGGAAGTAAAAGACCTTCACTTTGAAAACTATAGTACTCTGAAAAGAGAGATCAAAGAGGATATCAGAAAATGGAAAGACATCCCTTGTTCTTGAGTAGGAAGAACCAATATAGTGAAAATGGCCATACTTCCAAAACTGTTATATAGATTCAGTGCAATCCCAATTGAAATTCTAACAGCATATTTCACAGAATTAGAGAAAACAATCCAAAAATTCATTTGGAACCCGAAGAGACTTAGAATAGCAAAAACAGTTCTAGGCAACATAGACAAGGTAAGGTGTATCACAACCCCCAACTAGAAACTATACTACAAAGATACTGTGATAAAAACAGCATGGTACTGGCAAAGAAACAGACCCTAAGATCAATGGAACAGGTTAGAAGACCCAGAATTAACTCCAGACACACTCAGCCACCTCATCTTTGACAAAGGAGCCCAACACCCTCACTGGAGGAAAGTTAGCCACTTTAATAAATGGTGCTGGAAAAACTGGGTTTCAACTTGGCAAAGATTAAAACTAGACCCATATCTCTCACCATAAACTAGACTAAAATGGAAATGGATCAAAGATCTAAATATTAAAACAGAAAAACCAAACCTGCTAGAAGATAGATTAGGTAGAACTCTTGAAAACATTGGCATAGGAAAAAACTTTATGAACAAAACCTCACTCACATGGGAACTAGTACAATGAATTAACAACCGAATCTCATCTTATTAAAAAGCTTCTGCACAGCAAGAGAAACCACCAATAGAATGACAAAAAACCCACAATGTGGGAAAAAAATTTTATTAGCTGTTTCTCAGACAAAGGTCTACTTTCTAGAATATATAAGGAATTTTAACAAAATCAGACCTCCCAAATTTAAAGACCCAATCCAAAATATGGGCATCTGAAACTAACAGACATTTCTCTGATGAAGAAGTAGAAGAGCAAGTAAACATATGAAAAAATGCTCCATATCACTGGTTATTCAAGAGATGAAAATGGAAACAATTCTGAGATTCCACCTCACTCCAGAAACAATGGCTGTTGTCAAGAAACAAACCAATAACAAATGCTGGTGGGGTTGTGGGGAGAAAGGAATCCTTCTCCATTGTTGGTGCAAGTGCAGACTGGTGCCACCACTGTGGAAAACAATATAGAGATACCTCAAAAATTTAGGATTAGAGGTCCCATTTGACCTAGCTATTTCCCTGCTGGGTATCTTGGCAAAAAATTTAAAAGAATCATACCACATATATGTGCACTCATATATGTGCATGATATATATGCATTCATGTTTATAGTGACACAATTTGTAAAAGCTAAAACTTGGAAACAGCCCAGTTGCCCATCAATTAGTGACTGGATAAAGAAGATGTATTTTTTTTTAATATAAAATGGAGTACTACTCAGCCATATAGAATGAGAAACTAGAGACATTTATAGCTAAATGGATGCACATTGATGCCATACTCTTAAGTACTCTTAAGTGAAATAAATAGGACACACATATATAAATATCTGGTATGAGAAACTGAAAATGTAAATGAGAACCAAAATGTATAATAGATAATGTGAAATAGGAAGAAAAGGTTCAAAGGGGAAGGGAAGTAGGGGAGAGTGGGGGAAAGGAAAACAGGGAAAGAAAAACATATGAGAAAAGGAAAAAAAGGAAAGAAAGCTTTTGTAAATAGGGTGGTGTGGAGGGGTGGAAGGGAGGGAATGGGAATGGGAAAAAAACAAGAACCAAGATATATCTTGCACAAGTATAGATTCACAGTGATGAATATGATCATAATGTATACTTAAAATGTACCAATAAAGTTATGGGATAAA